GACTGGGTGGGTATCGTTCTCTCCCTCTCCAGGTTGGGGTCACTTCTGGACATGAACTCAGTTTCACCCCCTCCTTGTCCCCAGCACTCCGTCCAGGAGTCAGCTGACTCAGACCACCGTAGATTCAAATGCTGGCGATGAGGGTGACGTTGCCAGTGTCCTCATCAGGCATTCGGTCCTAGCAGCTCAGCTTGACCCCAGGGGCTGGGAGTTAATGATCAACCTAGAAGGTCACACAGTCAGGACTCCAAGCACCTGGACCACCAGGTCCTGCCTGGTCCCCTAGTCCTTTCATCACACAGATGTGGAAACTGAGGCCCAAGAAGTGCAAGAAAAGAGAGTGGGAGGGACAGGACATGAATCTTATGGTGACACTCCCTGCTTAAAGCTTCCTATGGCTTGGCTTCCTAGTGCCCTTGAGAATGTCCACACTGCATCAGCCAGGGTGCCCTGTGGACTCCGGCCCTCCTCTCCAGCCTGCTCCAGTCCAGGGAACGCACTACATCTCTCTATTCCAGACTTACATACCAGTGTCCTTAGTATTTGACTCAACTCAGATCTCCCCCCCACCCGCTCCAGGAAGACTTCTGAGCCTGCCAGCACCAGGGGAAGTCCTCTCTGGGCTCCCACCATCACACCCCCCAGGGCTATTCCCTTTCAAACAGCCATGATTATAATTACTCTTCAATGACCATGGAAGGGGGCGCTGGGGACAGGCTGTCCTCTTTGAGGCTAAGGGTCTCAAGACTTGGTGGGCAATGAATGAATGGCCAAAGTCATTCATTTGAATAGGAAATGTCCGGGTTTTTAGCTGGAATGTAAAAGAATAGAAATAGAGGGGTACATCTGGTAAAACAAGTTACCCTTCTCACAGGACAGTAGTAACACTTCTTTGTCTTTGTTTTCATGATCCATCTCACACGTCAGCTGACGCCAGCAGAGGGCCAGGGGCCTTGACGTGGCCTCTGGGACCTGCACTGGTATAGAAGGAGGATCTGGAATGTCTGAGTGACAGAAGAGGAGGTCCAGAGTGGGCAGGGACAGGGGTCTCTGTCTCTTGCTGGGCGAACACCCTTAACCAGCCGATCCTCCTCTCAGCTTCAGTTTCCCCAGCTGTCAAATGGGACCAGGTGTCACGGGCAGCACACATGGGTGACAATGAAGATTACTCTTGTCCACTTTGTTCTTCTTGAGCCATGTGGCTGGGCCTGGCCCTTTAACAGGGGAGGAGGGGCCACAGGCTGCAGGAAGCTGGGCCCAGCTGGTGCCCCGGCCAGAGGGCAGCCGCTGGGGTTGAACGGGGCTGAGCAGGCTGGGCCTGCGGGTGGGGAGGTAAGGTGCTGGGATCCCTGGGGTTGTGTAGGGGAGAAGAGGGTGTGCTGTGTGTCCTGCCAAAGTCCAGGAGGGTGGGCAGGATGTGGGGAGTGGTGTGAGTGGCCTGCTCCCCACCAAGGACCTTTGATAACTTGGGATGCACTGCTCTCCCCTACTCTGGACAAAAAGACTACCACTGGGGGTGCCTTGGGGGCTGAGCAGTGGCTCATGCTGGCCAGAAGGGCAGGAGCTGACCACTTTGCCAAAGGCTGAGCCCAGGGTATCTCAGACCTGGTACCAGTGATCTGGGCCTCAGACTGCCACAAGGGGCCTCTAGGGCCACCTCCAGGGAGCAGACAGGCCTGAGAGCTTCAGAGAGGCATGTGGAGTGGAGAGGTTGTGGCCGTTAGTTGTGCTCTAGCCTACACTGACACTTGTAGACCTTGTGTGTGTGTGTGTGTGTGTGTGTGTGTGTGTGTGTGTGCGTGTGTGTGTGTGTACTGCCCCAGGGTTTTTGCAAATCTGGGACCTCCCAGAATCAGATTGCCAGACCTGTCTCTGGGTGGGTTCCAACTCCCAACCTTTGGGCTAGAAGTCAAGTGTTTAACTCTTATGTCACCTAGGGACTCCGGAGAGGGTGGAGAAAACATCCTCTAATTGGCAGATGAGGCAGGTGGTGTTCCTCCCTGTCAGCCCACAGCGGGGTGGGCTCCCAGCTCAGCCTGGATCTTTGTCTCACCCAGTGAGGGCTGCTGGATCCCTGACCCCAGCCTGCCTTCCACCAGTGAGGTCCGGGGGGGCCCGTGCCCTGGTGAGGCCTGGCTTTGACAAGGTGGCTGGTAACTTGGGGGTGTCAGTTGTCTTTTTGTGGGTGATCAGTATTACCATGAGGGCTGAGGAGTCCTGGGGTCCTTGATCTAGGAGCACTTGGTTCCAAGGTACACCTGGTGGTTAATTATTAAATAAGAAGAATTATTTTAAGGGAAGTAGGCACAGTGATTGAAAGCCGAGACTCCACAGGCAGGTGGTTTGGGCTTGGTTCCTGGTTGAACCATCTTTGTGACCTTGGGCGACGTATTGGGGCCTCAGTTTCATGGTCTGTGTAATGGACAGAGTGGGATAACCTGTCTTGTAGGGTTGCAGTGAGGATCAAATGGGACACCTGGGAGGTGCGTGGCACAGTACCTGGCTTGCATTCAAATCCCACTCTGTGACACTAGGGCAGGCAGACCTCATTTTATTACACGTTGCACAGACAGCATTTCTTACAAAAGGGAGGTTTGGGATACTGTCGCATTGGGCAAGCTTGTCGGCCTCATTTGTGCAACTATATGTGTTCACTTTACATCTTGGTATGGACAGCCAAATTTCATCCTAAATATTTGTAATAAACCAAATGCCACTTTAGGTTATGAGGGAGCCTGATATAAGCTGGGATTCACCGTGAAGCACTAAGGCAATCCTTAAATGTTTACAGGGGTAGACACTAAGGCAATCCTTAAGCATTTACAGGATTCTTGTATTGTATTTGCTTACCCTCCCTCCTGAGTCAAGCAGAAAGTTTTCAGTGGAAAGAGCTTAGCTTCCTTTGCATTGAATTCTCTTTGTGATTTTCTCCCTGGCAGTTTTCAATAAAACTACAGAGAAGCTAAGGTCCGAGCTTCAGTTGTTGGAGAACTGCTCTCCTCCTGCTTCACCTCTGTTTTCTCCTGCGTTCTTGGTGCTGTGTCTCATTATTAATACTTATAAAGATACTTTACCCTCGGTCTGCAACATCTTGGTGCCACATTTTGATCATTCTCTCAAACGTGCAACCCTTTTCTTATCTGGCTGTGACACGTGTAATAATAAGCTACAGTACAGGGAGCTCTGGTGGCGCAGTCCGTAGGGTGTTATGCTACTAACTCAAAGGCAATGATGCTTCTCCGACGGTTCAAATCCACCAGCTTCTCCGAGGGAGAAAGTTGAGCAATTCTCACCCTGTGTGATTTACAGACTCCAGAAACCTGCGGTAGGGTCAGCTATGAGTCAGTTTTCCATCCAATGGCAATGGTTTGAGTTGCGACTGTTGTTGTTGTTGTTGTGTACCTTAGAGTCAGAACTGACCCATAGCTGACCTTCAAGCTGGTGTTCAGAGGCAGTTAATTGCATGGGAGGAGACTGCCCATCCTTTCCCTACAGAGAAGCTGGTGGCCTCGAACCACATGCCTTCGAGGTTGCAGTGCAGCTTCTTGCCACTAGGCCACCAGAGCTCCCGAGATGTGTGCTTTTTCCAGTTTGTTGCATGAGTACTTGGTTCTCAGGCCTTGCCTGACTACCCTGTCCAAAGAAGTTATCTTCCTATGCAGATCCCTGTATACCTGTGTTTTCCCCTTTGTGATTTCCACCATTCCTAATTATTTTGTTTGACTATGTAATTCTGTTCAGTGCTGACCTCCCCTGCCAGCCTGTGTTCATCTTATTTTCCATGGGGTCCCCAGTGCCTAGGGCAGGCATGAGTCATATAGGAGGCCTAACACTAAGGAGCTGCACGGTCAACCTAAGGACATGTGGTTCAAATCCATCAGCTACTCTGTGGGAGAAAGATATATAATCTCCTCCTGTGTGATTTACTGCCTCTGAAAACCGACTAGCGGGTCAGTTACGGGTTGGTTGTGACTTGACGGTACATAACAACAACACCACATGCATGTTAATGTAGGACATGTATACCAGCCTTGGTGAAAGGCTCCATTGATATATCTCTGAAGCACTTGGTGCAGATATTGAAGTCAACAGCTCCAAATAATTCAGCTTGAGGATTAGGATTATTATTACTGCTCCCATTTTACAGAAGGGAATATCAAGGCACAGAGTGGTAGAGCTACTTGTCTGGGTTACATAGTCAGAACTGGTTTCTGACGTTGATCTTTGCTAGTTTCCAAAGCTCAGGGACTTAGAATCTGCTGCTGAAATGAGGCCTGGGCTCTGGCATGCTAAAACCAGTAGGCAGTGACTCAGACCTGGGGAATTCTAGGGGTCCCTCAAACAACAGAATGGGGTCAGGTCTAGGGGCGAGAAGCCTGGACCTCTCTGATGGGCACCTGCAGCCTTGACAGTGTCTGCACGTGGTGGCCTTGGGCGAGGGCCACAGCTCTCCCTCTGGTGGTCATGCCTCGAACTGCAGGATTGGCCCAGAGAAAAGTGGCGTTTTTGTTCTTCTCTTTCATCCTAAAAAATGTTTCAAAACCTTTTCTTACTTAGAAGAAAACCTTTCCTGACCATCCTCATTAAAGTAACACCCCTGCACCTCTTGATGCTTGTTAGTATTCTGCGGTCTGTCTCCCCACCCGGAATGTGAATTCAGAGAAAGTTTGCTTATTGCCAGCTCTCCAGGTCAGGGACCACGTGGCATGCAGCAGGTGCTCAAGAAACACTTGTTGAATGAATGACTCAGTGGCTCTCACTCCTTCATTCATTTCTTCATCACCCTACACAGTCATGGGTTTTTACTCTCTCCATCTCCAGCACACGGCAGCTGCAGGATGAAAGGACCCTTGTCCAAATGGGGAGACTGGGTCTTAAAGAGGTGTCAGTAATTGCTTGGACCCTCACAGAGGGAGTCTGTGCTGGAGGCGCCGTCTCCCTGCAGGGGCTGATGGTGGGCACTGTCTGGGCTTTGTCCTCGTGTCCCCAGGCTCTCAACAATGGCTCCCGTCACAGAGGGTAAGGCTTTCCACGTGGTCACACCTCTGCTGGAGAGCTGGGTGCTGTCCCAGGTGGCGGGCACCACAGTCCTCCTCAAATGTGAAAATGTGCAGCCAGCTGGCTCCTTCAAGATCCGGGGCATTGGGCATTTCTGCCAGGAGGTGAGCAGGTGGGGAGAGGGAAGGTTGTATAGGTGGGAGGGGAAGGGTGAAAGGTAAAGGGTGAAGGGTGGAGGTGAGGGCAGGTGAGGAACTAGTTCAGAAGGGCAGGTGGGGCAGCGTAAGGCTGAGGTGAGTTGGGGCTGGGTGGGATGGAGGAAGCCGGACTCCCCCCTTTCTGGCACCGGTTGGGACAACCCCCCAACGCCATTGCTTCTCTTCCCAGATGGCCAAGAAGGGATGTAAACACCTGGTGTGCTCCTCAGGTGAGCCACTCATTTCTACCTCATGGAGGTCTTCAATATTGAGGGGAGGGGAGGAGGGGCTGGCTGGAGCAGCTGTTACTAGCCAGGGCCTGATCTTCTCTTAAGGACTATGGTTCATAACTTGAGATGGGACCTCATTTGTCCTCCCTCTAGCCATCATGCAGGGACCCTGGTAACAAATGACAAAACCCCAAACCATACAGGCTTAAACTAAAGAAGAATTAGGCGAGCTCTGGTGGCCTAGAGGCAAGAAGGTGTACTGCAATCCCAGAGGTGCACTGTTCAAATCCACCAGATGCTCTGCTGGAGAAGGAGGAAAAAATCTCCTCCTGTACCAGTCAGATCTGATTTGACAGTACACACACACAAAATAATAAAATTTAAAAAAACAGAAAACAAAAAAAAAAGAAGAAGAATTAGCCAAGAATGGAGAAGTACTGAGATAAGTGGCTTTCAGGCATGGCTGAATCCAGGGGCTCTCCTCTCAGCTTTGCTTTCTGCTCTATCACCTTTGTTCTCAAACAAATTATAAGGACTTCTCAGGGCCACCAGGAGTTCCAGGCTTGCATCCTATCCTCCTAACATCCCCAGTAAAGAAAGCGGCTGCTTCTGCTTCTCCTCCTCCTCCTCCTCTCTCTTCCCTCCCTCCCTTCCTTCCTTCCTTCCTTCCTTCCTTCCTTCCTTCCTTCCTTCCTTCCTTCCTTCCTTCCTTCCTTCCTTCCTTCCTTCCTTCCTTCCCTGAGGAATCTCCTTAATCTCAGAATTCATCTTCTGGCCCAGAGTGAGCCTGAACCCAGCACAGGGTGGGCATTGGATTGAGTCCTCTGTTTAACTCACTCAGGACTGTGTGCCCACTTCTGCAACCAGGAGGAAGGAGTCAACGGTGAGATACATGAATTAGGGGGGCTGGAGGTCAGCAGGCTAACACAGCACTGTCCCTGGTCCTTCTTTGACCCCTGCAGGGGGCAATGCAGGCATTGCTGCAGCTTACTCTGCTAGGAAGTTGGGGATCCCTGCCACCATCGTGCTCCCTGAAAACACTTCCCAGCAGGTGGTGAAGAGGCTGCAAGGAGAGGGGGCCGAGGTGCAGCTCACTGGCAAGGTAAGGCCCCAGGAAGGGAAGACAGCATCCATTACTCCTCCCTCACCCCTATCTCACTCCTAAGGCCTTCTTTTCCCTTGGGTGAGCTATGCCTGGGACCCCATCTTCTTGTGGAATCATAAAGCTTAAGGAAGGAGTGAGATATGATTTGTGGTGAAAGTTGGGACGCCAAGGAGACCCCTGATACATGACCTCAGGAGAAACAGAAAGCTGTGGGGGGACTAGAATAAAATCATCTTTGAAAAACAGATTTAAAAACTCCACAAAATTGAAACATAAAGACACCCAAAAGTGCCTTTAAGTGGTTCCC